CGCGTAGAAGGGAAACAATAAAATAATAAAAATTTTAAAACAATAAAATTCTCACGAATTTACAAAACCAAAGTTTAGTTTTTTTTTGCGATTTGCTTATTAACCTTTCATCTACTTTGCACTTCGATCGTGTTGGTGTTGCTGCGACAATCTGACCCCGTGCCCCTACTGAAACATCTGTGACTAATCCAGCCTCATCGCTCATCGGATTTCATGGGGATCGATGAAGACGATTTGGATTCCGATGTTTGGTTTTTAAAAGTCTGTCAATTCTAACGAGGTTTGTTTTACAGGCGAGTTTTGCGTTACTACTTAACATAACTGTTTATGTATTTATGTCTGCCCGTGTATTGTTGTTGTATTGGAGTGTTTGTGTGTGTGTGTGGGGCTGTGTATACACGTGTGTCAGAGTGTGTGTGTGTGTGTGGCAACTCTGTCGTGGACAGTGCTGTGGGGGGAGATCCAATTTTGATTGGTTCCTCCCCTCATGGCATATGTGTCCACCACAGGGGCTAAACGGGGGCTCTGGACGGGTGCGAGGGGCTGGTAACCCCTCCACCTTCAATTAATTACCACGAAACCACGAATTAAACTGAAATATGTAACTAATAAGCTTGTGCCGGAGGCCCCGGGGGGCCAGGCGTCTATGACGTCTCCTGGCCAAACCCCAATTGGCGGAGCCAGGAGATTGAATATCTACCCTCGGTGCTACTCCAGAAACAACGAAAAGCCACTGCGGGTGGCCACGTGGAATGTTCGAACGCTCACTGCAGAGGAGAGGCTGCCACTCCTCTGTCGGGAGCTGGACCGGTACCGCCTGGATCTATGCGGCATTCAGGAGGTCCGGTGGACCGGCTCTGGCTCCTGCCACCATGAGGGGTGGACAGTCCTCTACTCGGGGCAGCAGACTGCCAAACAACAGGGTGTGGGTCTTCTTTTGAACAAAAGAATGAAGGGGGCGTGGGAGCGTGGCGGTGAGGTGTGGGAAGCTGTAAGCCCCAGGCTACTTTGGGCTCGCCTTCCCATCAACCGGAGGCGAGGAATGGTGGTCGTGGTTACTTATGCCCCCACCGAAGATGAACATCCGTGGAGGGATGCAGGCAAAGCCGATGAGTCAGATGCCTTCTATGACCTCCTGTCACAGGTGCTGGCTAAAGTGGCCCCTCGGGATAGAGTCATCATGTTGGGTGACTTCAATGCCCGAGTTGGTCATGATACTGGCACCTGGTCTGGAGTGATTGGAGGGCATGGGCCAGATCAGCTCAATAACAACGGTAGGAGGCTGCTAGATTTTTGTGCAGCCCATGGGCTTGTAATTACCAACACGCTGTTCCGGCATCGGCGCATCCACACAACATCATGGATGCATGCCGGGTCCAAGCAAGAACATCTGCTGGACTACATAGTGACGGACCAGCGAATGCGAGCCCATGTCCTTGACACCAGGACCTACCGTGGAGCTGATCTGCCCTCTGACCATCGACTAGTCATCTGTAAGATGCGCCTGCCATTCTTCCACTCCGGTGGTGGGTGTACACCCAGGACCCCATTCCAACATAAAGTGGCCTGGTCTCAGTTATCTGATGAAAGTTGCAAGCGAGAATTTCATCATCGCTTGTGGCTGGGATTGGCATCGTCCCCGACTCCTGATGTCGAGGGTAAATGGGCGAGGTTTAGGACTGTGACTCATGCAGCTGCAATGGCTGCTTTGGGTACGCGGTCCAGACCTCCCCAGAGACCCTGGCTGACAGAGGAGGTGTTCAGGATGGTTGAGAAAAAGCGACAGGCCCACTGTCATCGGCTACAGAATCCCACGTCAGAGAATGAGGAGGCTTACCGCAGCCTTCGCTCGGAGGTTCGGAGAGCCGTGAGGCGCTGCAAGGATGGGTGGTGGTCGCGGGTTGCTGAGGAGATGGAGTCTGCCTCAGTGGCCCGTGATCACAAATCTCTATTTAACTCCATCAAAAAAGTAACCTGCAGCACCACACCTATTACCATCATTAGGGGAAAAAACGGTGATCCAATCTCCGACCCCCAGGAACAGGTTTGCAGATTTGCTGAGCATTTCTGTGAGGTCCTGGGGGAGGGAAAATCCCTTAGCCAGAAAAACATCGTGGCACAAAGTGAGGATGACCCTGCTGAGGCTGCGGTGCCTCAAATATTGGAAGAAGTCACCCCTTGTGAGTGGCTGGCTGAGGTGCCATCTGTTGAGGAAGTACTGAAGGCGATCCGGAGTCTGAGACCAGGAAAGGCAGCGGGCAGAGATGATCTCCCAAGCAAAATGCTGAGGGAGGGTGGCGTTTGTGCACAGACTGCCCTATATGACACCATAACAACAGTCTGGACCACTGGACGGGTTCCGCAGGATTGGAAGGATGCCCTGGTGGTCCCCCTTTTTAAGAAGGGGGACCGCACAGACTGTAACAACTACAGGGGCATCTCACTCCTCAGTGTGCCGGGAAAGGTCCTGGCAAGGATTATTCAGCATCGCCTTGCCAGGCACGCTGAGGAGAGGCTTGCGGAGCCCCAATGCGGTTTCAGGAAAGGGTGGTCCTGCACAGATGCCATATTTTCTGTCCGTCTGCTAAAGCAGAGGTGTAGGGAATTCCAACAAGACCTACATCTCTGCTTTATTGACCTGGTCAAGGCCTATGATACCATCAGTAGGCCTGGGCTCTGGGTCGTTCTTCGTGCTTTTGGAGTACCTGACCCTCTGCTCACGATCATTAAGGACCTTCATGATGGTGAGCGGGCCCGGGTAAAACTACGTGGCCGGGAGTCAGAGCCATTCCCTGTACATCTTGGGGTGCGACAGGGATGTCCTCTGGCTCCCACATTATTTAACATCTATTTTGACCACGTAGTTCGAAGCCTTCAATAGCTGTACCGGGGGAATCTCCATATGGTACAGATATAATGGGAGGCTAATCGATGCCCGGGTGCGGTCAAGGGATGGTTCCCTATTGCTCAACCACGTTATGTAGGCTGATGATTTGGTAATAGCTGCTCAGTCAGAGGAGGAGTTGGAGACGCTGCTGCTGAGACTGGAGCGTGCCACTAAGAGATGGGGCCTTACCATCAGCCCCACCAAAACTAAGCACCTGCCTGGGTATTTTGTACCATCGGACACTCCACCCCCACAACTCCCAATCGGTGATAGGGCAGTTGTGGAGAGAGTGGAGAGTTTCCCATACCTGGGCAGTGTGCTTATGACTGGCTCCAGTTTAACAGCAGAGGTCTTACTCCGAATCAGTCGAGCAGCAATATCTTTTCATCGGTTGCGTAACGCTGTGTGGAAGCTACCTGGTCTGTCGCTCCGCACTAAGCTTCAGGTCTTTTCGGCCACGGTCATTCCCTCCCTTCTCTACGCTTGCGAAACGTGGACCCCCCTAATGGGACATCTTCGCCGGTTAGAAACATTTAGGCTGGCCTGCCTACGATCCATCCTGGGTTTAACCAGACTGGATTGTGTGAGGAGCTCACAAATCCTTGAAATATCTGGGCAGGGTCCCATCGGTGAGCTCCTCCGGCAGGCAAGGCTGCGATGGCTGGGTCATGTAGCCCGCATGCCCAGCCACCGCATGCTGAAACAGCTTTTGTTTGGCCGGATTGAGGGGGCTAAGCGGACGCGGCACGGGCTAGAGAAGAGATGGAGTGATGTGGTACAGGAGGACGTGGAGCTGAGTGGACTTGCCGATGACTGGTACCAGCGGTGTCAAGATCGGCCTCTGTGGAGGAGGCTCGTGAAGGAAGCTACTGGGCAGTTGGAGGCAGTCGCCCTCCAACAACAACGGAGGGCGGAGGAGCGACGCCCAGAACAACGAGCGGAGTGCCGGGTGGCTAAAGCACAGCAGGTTGGCACAGTAGGGGGCACAGGTGGTGCATCGGCCAGTCATCTCAGTCAGTCGACCCGTGGCACCTGGGTCTGCCCCGTGACCTCCTGCCAGCGGGCGTTCGACACTTCACGTGGCGTCAGGGTGCACATAGCCTGGCACAAGCGTCGTGTAGACGTCCCCGCCACTTAGTGGCGAATGGCGGTTGTTGTTGTTGTTGTGTGTGTTGAGTGTGTGTATGTGTGTGTGTTGAGTGTATGTGTATGTATCTGTATGTATGTATGTGTGTATCTGTGTGAGTCTGAGTGAGTGTGTGAATCTGAGTGTATGTATGTGTGAGTGAGTCTGAGTGAGTGTGAGTGTATGTACGTGTATGTGAGTGAGTCTGAGTGTGTGTGTGTTGAGTGTATGTATGTGTGTATGTATGTGTGTGTGTATGTGTGTCTGTGTGTATGTGTGTCTGTGTGTATGTGTGTGAGTCTGAGTGTGTGAATCTGTGTGTTGAGTGTGTGTATGTGTGTGAGTGTGTGAGTGTATGTGTGTCTGTGTGTATGTGTGAGTCTGTGTGTATGTGTGTCTGTATGTGTGTGAGTCTGAGTGAGTGTGTATGTGTGTATGAGTCTGAGTGAGTGTGTATTGAGTGTGTATGTGTGTGAGTCTGAGTGTGTGAATCTGTGTGTGTGAGTGTGTGTGTTGAGTGTGTGTATGTGTGTGTATGTGTGAGTGTGTGTGTTGAGTGTGTGTGTGTTGAGTGTGTGTATGTGTGTGTTGAGTGTGTTGAGTGTGTGTATGTATGTGTGTGTGAGCGAGTGTGTGAGTCTGAGTGTGTGTGTGTTGAGTGTATGTATGTGTGTGAGTCTGAGTGTATGTGTGTTGAGTGTGTGTATGTTGAGTGTGTGTATGTGTGTGTGAGTGTATGTATGTGTGTCTGAGTGAGTGTGTGTTGAGTGTATGTATGTATGAGTGTATGTATGTGTGTTGAGTGTGTGTGTGTTGAGTGTGTGTTGAGTGTGTGTATGTGTGAGTGAGTGTGTGTGTTGAGTGTATGCGTGTTGAGTGTATGTATGTGTGTATGTATGTGTGGAGTGTATGTGTGTTGAGTGTATGTATGTGTGTGTGTGAGTCTGAGTGTATGTGTATGTGTGTGTGTCTGAGTGAGTTTCTCACCTCGCGTCTGTGGCCGTCTCCGTGCGCGTGCGCCCAGGAAGCGCGCGGGGGCAGCGAATTTAAACCCCTGGGGGCGGGGCTGCTTGCGTGACGTCACGAGGCGGGGACCTCCCCCCTGCGTGACGTCACGCGGCGGGGACCCCCCCCACCCCGCGTAATGGGCGGAGATCTCGGGTGACGTCATATCCCACGCACCATGAGACGTCATAAAAAGGCAGCAACGCACGTGTATAAATGACGTGTCAGTTTAACACGTAAGTAGCAGGCTTTCGCGACCAATATTATTATAGATAATAAAGGTTTGTGGTGTTAAGATCGCGTTATTTATAAATGTGTCGTAAGCCTCCACCACCCGACACGGCCAATCAGTCTTAAATAGAGCAGCAGCAGTAGGGTGACGTCATCATCAGCTAACCCAATCAGGTGCAGTGATTTGAGGCGGAGGGGGGGTTATTGTAATTATATAATAGATTGGTAATCAGTCAATTGTTATGATTAGAGTTGTAGATGAGTAATTAGTTGTAATGTGTGTTATTGTAATTATATGCTACGTTAGTAATCAGTTAATTAGTATGTGTTTCCCCTATAAGGAAATGTAATGTATTATTTAATAATACGCTTGCAGGCCGCACGAAAGAGCGATTAAAGTTATTTCTGTTTCTCTCAATTACAATGGATTCTCTAATTAGTATTGGCCAGTAATAATTCGTTTCACACAACACTTCAACGTTATCAAAATCAATTGAGTGACTTTGTTGGCACGCATGTTCTGCCACTGCCGACAGTTGTGTTTGAGATAATTTAATATCTATTTGGTGTTCTTTGAGTCTTACGCTGATGTTACGGGGTCCCGTCTGTCCAATATAGCATCTACCACAAACAATTAATCCGATATACACCTGTTGATAATTTAGGTAATTCGTCTTTCGTACAAGATACTACATTTTGATTTAAAGCTTTCGTGACTGCAGTGATTCATATTCTTGGATCTTTCGGTAAAGTCACGTTGAAGGGAAACAATAAAATATATATTGTTTTATATATATATATATTTTTATGTTTTATTATTTTATTGTTTCCCTTCAATCGTGACTTTACCAAAAGAACCAAGAATATACAAGATACTAGTTTTTGAATTGTGTACTGTACCACATCGTATTTAATGTTTTGCTTTTGCAAAACACGTGCTCATTTGTCAGTTACTACTGAGATATATGGTATTTTTTATTGTTTTAATAATCTGATCACTTTCAGCAGTGTTGCTTTGCGATCGTGATTTGGCATTCAGTGCTGTTAATTTGAGCATTATTGTAGCCATTCTGTCGTAGTGCTTCTTTAACGTGTTTGATCTCTCTCACTAGACTCTCACCATCTGACACTGCTTTAGCCCGATGTATGAGCGTCTTGATAAGAGAGGATTTGAGCTGGGTGATGATGTGAATCTGCATTCAGATAGGTATCAGTGTGCATTCCCTTTCGGTAAACGCTTTGTGTTCTTTTGCCATTTAGTCCATTGCATGGTCACGGGTGAATTAATTGGAGGCCCTTAAAAGTTTGGGGCCCTTTCTGGTCCCCCATAGAGGACACAAATACCTCGTAAAAGTCGAATACTTGACCCGTTGGCCTATGGCCTGGCCTCTGGTTGACCAAACGGCCGCGTCCATAGCCGACGCCTCTTTATATGGCTACGTTCTTGATAAGGCCCCCCCCCCCCCCACCCTGAGCAGCTCCTCACGGATCAGGGCAGGAATGTCTCCTCTAAGTTGCTTCAGGAGGTGTGCGACTCTCTGGGCACGCGGGAAATACGTACCTCACCTGATCGCCCGCAAACGGATGGGATGGTCGAACGGTTGCACGGGACCATCACGGCCATGCTGTGCCAGCAGGTGACCATGGGCCAGTTGGACTGGGACCTTCACATTCTCACGCCTCGACGGGGTTCTCGCCATCTACAGGTCCAGTTGGGCTTGCGCCCTTCCAAGAAGGGGCTCGGTAGTGCCAAACCCCATGGCGCAAACGCTTGAGCAGCTGCGGTTGGCCCCGCGAGGCTGCCAGGAGCAACCCGGCCCGCAGGCAGGACGGAAACGAGCGGTCACGGGGACAGGGAGGGCCGGGGATTCCCTGGCAAAAAGGTTGACAGGGCGTGGTTACACTGCCCTCAGGTGCCCCTTGGCACGTCCCCTAAAACTGCACCGTCCCCGGCAAGGGCCGGTTGAGGTTAATGATGTCCGGTGGCCGCAGTGTGTACGTATTCGTCTAGGCCAGCAGCGCTGGTCCGTGCTCCCATCGCGGATAAAAAGATATGTCTCGACTCGTCCTGTCAATTCATCCCCACGTGCCATGCGGCCGATGCCTGATGTGTCCGGCGAGCCGACTGCCACGCCTGGGGAAACGGAGCGTGAGGGGGGGGGGGGTTGTCCTGTACCGCCTACAGCAGGGGTCACCAAACTTTTTTCACAGTGGGCCGGATAACTGAAAGAATGACGAGCGCGAGCCGCATAATAAATAAATATTTCTGGAGCATCGGACCTGTGTTGACAGCTGGAAAATCTGGGGGCGGGAAAGATGCGTGTTTGTGTGAGTTGCCATGGAAACCAGGTAACGTCAGAGCGTAGGCGGAGCTACCACGAGCCGGGGAAGTACTTGGGATGGCGAGAAATAAGCAAACAATAAACAAGAAAATCTAGATACAATAATTTAAAATAGTAAATTTAAGGAACATAGCAGTCAGGAGCTCTCCGCACGCGTGAAGATCTCCTAGTATTCTAAACATAATATTTAAATTGTATCACAACGTCTCGTGTTCCATACGTTTTTATCAACCAAATTCAAGTACCGTCGGCGGGCCTGATGGACTGACGTCGCGGGCCGTAGTTTGGTGACCCCTGGCCTACAGGACCGGAGCGACCAATGTCTAAAAACGGGGCAGTAGGAACTCCCGAGGTGGACCACCCCGGGGTGTGGGAGGTAACCGCCTCCCCTGCAGCCCGCAGAAGAGGCCTCGCTCTGCTGACCTGTCGGGACCAACCTTCCAAGCCGGGCGATGCCGGCTCTGCCCGCGGTGACGGACCTGCCACGGGCACTTGCTCACGACGTGTCATGTTTCGTTAAGAGGAAGAACGGTTTTCCCGCCTTCACATTTACGGTCGTTACTGTCTATCGTTGTTATTCCGATTGCCCCTTCCGCGGTCACTGTTTTTGATTAATTTGCGGTTCGGTCACACACGTGCGCGCACGCTCACGTAAAATTGACAGCCGGGACGGCTGCGTTTTTTTATTCGCGTGGGGGGGGGGGGGGGTTGATGTAGAGTAGAGATGTACACAGTACACACAGTTAAGCGGGTGCAATTGAGGACGAGCAGGTGTGCGTGCTGGGGCAGGCGGTTGGCACTGGAGCGACGGTAGATGGGGGCGATGATCTGCGTGTTCGCCGTTGGGTGCGACAGACGCCGTGGAGGCGACAGCTTAAGCGGGGAGCACTTGAGGACTCGGAATGAGGAGGAGTATATAAGCAGGGGGTGTGCGTGAGCAAAGTTGAGTTGTTCGGGGACCAAGAATGAAGACGTCTCGCCGCTGCCGCTCGAGCCGTCAACGGGACCTCGCCCCTCACGCCGTCCCTGGGAGGGTGTTGGCTGAACCCCCCGCCTGGGACAGACGGGTGAGTGGGTACGGGGCAGCGGCGAGATAGGAGAGAGTAGGTGAGGTGCGGAGTAGTCGAGGTGCGGAGTAGATGAGAGCGGGTAGTTGGAGAAGCAGTGTGCCGGGACGGGCAACGTTGTCGTGGACAGTGCCGTGGGGGGAGGGCCAATTCCGATTGGCCTTTCCCCTCAGGGCATTTGTAGCCACCACAGCAGCTAAATGGGGGCTCTGGATGGGTGTGAGGGGCTGGTAACCCCTCCACCTTCAAATATATGAGTATTTCTGTGAGGTCCTGGGGGAGGGGAAATCCCTCGACATGGAAAACATCATAGGACAAAGTGGGGATGACCCTGCTGAGGCTGCGGTACCTCAAATATTGGAGGAGGAAGTCACCCCTTGTGAGTGGCTGGCTGAGGTGCCATCTGTTGAGGAAGTACTGAAGGCGATCCAGAGTCTGAGACCACAAAAGGTACTGGGCAGAGATGATCTCCCAAGCGAAGTGCTGAGGGAGGGTGGCGTTTGTGCACAGACTGCCCTATATGACATCATAACAGTCTGGACCGCTGGACGGATTCCGCAGGATTGGAAGGATGCCCTGGTGGTCCCCCTCTTTCAGAAGGGGGACCATACAGACTAACAACTACAGGGGCATCTCACTCCTCACAGTGTGCCGGGAAAGGTCCTGGCAAGGATTATTCAACATAGCCTTGCTAGGCACGCTGAGGAGAGGCTTGCAGAGCCTCAATGCGGCTTTAGGAAGGGGCAGTCCTGCACAGATGCCATATTTTCTGTCCGTCTGCTACAGCAGAGGTGTAGGGAATTCCAACAAGACCCACATCTCTGCTTTATTGACCTGGTCAAGGCCTATGATACCATCAGTAGACCTGGGCTCTGGGTTGTTCTTCGTGCTTTAGGAGTCCCTGACCCTCTGCTCACGATCATTAATGACCTTCATGATGGTAAGCGGGCCAGGGTAAAACTACGTGGCTGGGAGTCGGAGTCATTCCCTGTTCACCTTGGGGTGTGACAGGGATGTCCTCTGGCTCCCACAATATTTAACATCTATTTTGACCATGTAGTTCATGAAGCCTTCAATAGCTGTACCGGGGGAATCTCCATTTTGTACAGATATAATGGGAGGCTGATCGATGCCCGGGTGCGGTCAAGGGATGGCTTCTTATTGGTCAACCACGTTATGTATGCCGATTATCTGGTAACAGCGGCTCACTCAGAGGAGGAGTTGGGGCCTTACCATCAGCCCCACCAAAACCAAGCACCTGCCTGGGTATTTTGTACCATCGGGCAATCCACCCCCACAACTCCCAATCGGTGATGGGGCAGTTGTGGAGAGAGTGGAGAGTTTCCCCTGCCTGGGCAGTGTGCTTATGACTGGCTCCATTTTGACAGTAGAGGTCT